TATATTTATTTTGGTTTCGGTGGAACAAATTACAGAACCTGGGTATTATGAAGATGGAAAGTTCGGTATACGATTGGAGACGATCGTCACGGTTGTGGAGAAAAATCTGCCGGTGAGTTAAAATTGAGTGTTTTTTTTTTTTCAAACGTGTAACCCAGTAATTCAACAACAGGGATTTGATTTTGTGATTAACTGTTTCAGGTTTATCATTGTGAAAGGAAAATAAGATGGAATAACAATTTCATTTGTCATTGACAGCTGCTGAGAACTCTCCCTATGATGCCAGGGATCAAATATATACTTTTTCAAACCTGGGTTTGAATAAATTCCTTTAAAATAACTTGCTAATGCTCAATAACCCGCGATACTCCTTTTCAAAATCCGCGCTACGTTGTGAATAAAAATGCAGATGTAATCAGAAAATAACGCTTTTAAAATTTTATATTTTCACTATATATATTGTACACAAATATAATGGGGAAAGAGAAAAGAAAACAGATATTGTAAATAAATATATTTACTACCTAATAAGTCATTCTCTGATTGTTGACAACAAAAAAGTGAAAATCTTTTCAGACGCTGAACGATTTGAGGAACAAAATTCAGTAAAAATGTGACCTGCATGCAAGCTAAATTTTACAACTCTCCTTTTTAAAATATTGACATTCTGTGCAGAGTGAGGTACTGTATAAACAATTTTGTTTTAAGGCAATTCTACGAGTATATGGGATAATAGAGTTTATAAACTTTGAAGGAAAGAAAATAAGAGCTTTTGATAATGTATTTTTTCAAAAGTACCATTTTTCAATTTTGGCAGGTATAAAATATTGAGTAGATGAATTATGTAGGATTATTTTGAATTATATAGAATAAACGTGATTTCTTGTGGGTAATTTTCTGCAATGAAGTGCGGTCTGTAATTGAGTGAATATTTAAATGAATTAAATTTTGGTAAATTATCACTTTTTCTCGCAGAGAAATTTTGATGGTCCTTACCTTGGACTGGAACCCGTCACCTTCGTCCCATTCGAGCCGAAGCTGATTTGCGCAGAACTCCTGTCAACCAAACAGAAAAATTGGCTCAACAACTACAACGCTCTCGTGAGAGACAAAATTGGCGCAGAATTGCACGAAAGAGACAACACCGAAGCCTACGAATGGATGATGGCCAGAACCGGTCCAGTTGTCGTGACCAAGCCGTGCAAATTATTGGCTGGATCTTCAGCAGCATCCGTTAACACGCCGAGAACGAGTTTCTTGACTAATTACGTCCTGATTCCCGTGACGATTTTGTTGATGAACTTGATAAGTTTTTGACTGATCGTACGTGTGTTGAGTGAAGATGAGGAGCAGAATTTGAATGCCATCGTCACCAGCAGTGAATTCCAGCATTTCGATCATCTTGAGTGGATGCCTTTTGTCGATGCGTGTTATCCGAAGTACAACTTGAGCCATTATATTATTTATTTGGAAAGTTGAAGGAACGAATAGCAAAAAAAGAACGATTCCTCTTTTTGATTAATGCCAGCTGACGCGTTTGTTATAAATCGTTACCGAACGTTGAAATCGGACGAATACATTTTTCTAACTCTACGAATTCAAAGTCTGCTGTTTTAATTTCAATCGAAGAATTTTCCAATTTTTTACAGGGATCGATTTCACATATGATAAACATAAAAATTTGTGCGTCTAAAGCCTCTTCTATGCGATACAAATTCT